ATGGCTGCATTATTGCTCACAGGAACTTCACTGTAATATATGGTAAGAGACAAGTAGCTCTTTATGGCCAGTGATTATTCGGTTTGAATGAAACCTGTGATTTATGTCCATTTAACTGAAAAGCCTTGTAAATTCCCAGTGCTGCATTTTTCCTCAATAGAGAATGAGTCAAGCGAAAGTGACAACTAGGTTGGCGTGGAAATGTGCAGTGCATTGCCGTGTTATATTTAATACACCTGACATGAAAAACGTGCACACCACACAGTCACCTTAAATAGGAGTGAAAGTGACATTAGCTTGTAATATGACTGCCATATTCAGTGGATTAGACACTAACATTGGCTTAAAAGGAGATTTGGAGCCAGAGTGGGCTGGGCATGGGGCCACAGATAGTGATAGGCAACTACTAGTATATCATCTGTCATTTTCTCATAATATTTTAAAAATTGGTTGTTTTTCCAATTGCTTCTACTGATATCTATAAAATAATACGATTCTTCCCTTTCATTACAAGTCTTTATCTTTAGAGTTAAGAAGGACAGCACGAAATTTATGTGCAAATATTATTCCAGATCTTTCTTTAGGAGGTGCCGATATCATTCAGTTGGCTTTTTTAGTTTTTGCTTTTTGCGTCTCTCATTCAGTCAGACCCCACTTAGGCATCTGCCTTACCTCTACTTGGTCTTGTCTCCTTTATCTCCAATCCATTCACTATTTGTCTGAGAGCCCGTCTCCCTTTCTCTACCCCCATATCAAATCTGGTTTAGATAATGGCACCTTGAGGGATTTTTCAGTTTGTTTATTTTGTTTCCAAATTATATTCCAGTTTGCACAACCAAAGGTAATTGTTTCAAATGAGATTTTCTAACCATGGGGCTTGTGACCTTCATTTCATTTCCAGGTCTTCTATTTCATACTTAAACTGCTTTTCGTTACTTACGGATATTAGGTGGAAAATTATTTTGCCTTTTTTTTTTTTTAGGTTTGGGGAGAAAAGTAGCAACATATCTGTTTTAATCTCTCTTATTTATCTATAATTTGGTTTATGTTTCTCAAACTGTGGCTTACTTGATTTTAAAATGAAGAAAGCTGAAAGTAAAGTTGGTGTTTTCTTTAATCATCTTTGTACTGTCAGACCACAATCCTGCTTGTTATTTTTAAATAACAGACACAAAATAAAATCTATGGATAATTATAAAAACAACTACTAAAGAAAATAATAGAATTGGCACTAGTTTCACAGAAGACAAGAATTCGGGGCCGGCCGAAAATATCTGATCTGGCCTTGCTTTCCGTGATATGGCTAAATATTTTCCTAAGATTGGTATGGCAGTTGAGTGAATCAAGAGAAAGTCCATCAGAGAACAAAATTATAGAGATTTCATAGGCTTAAGCCTATGAATAATTTGGGACCTAGTTTTATGGCATGCTCATTAGGGGGAAAAATCAGACAACTACAGTTTCCATAATAGCTTTTTGTTTCACAGCAGCTCTAAATAATGTACTGTTTCAAAGTAAAAATGATTTGATAACTTTTCTTTATCATTACTGTGGATTTTGTGTATCTTCTCTGATTGTGGAAATATTGTAGGGCTAGATTTTAATTAGTGCCTAATTCATGACCATGTGTGGAACACATTTGCAGCAGCCATGGACTGAAGCCTCTCTTCAGTCCTGGATGAGCAGAAGTTACTCATGATCCAGTGGGGTTGGTCCTTGAAATGAGGAAGCTGCGAAGCCCTGTATTTGCATCTCATTTTCTCAGGTCAGGTCTTCGTCGTGTTACAGTGTTGTTCTGTTAGAGAGGCTACTACTATACAATTCAGCCATTGCAGATTTCTAATCTGCTTATTTATAATTCAAAAGCTTGCCTATATATTAATGAACCCTTAATGAGCTGTTGAAAATGCCTGAATTACAGTCAGATTATTAAACTCCAACAGCCCCATAATCATACCATTTGAGTGGGCTTTAGGTACTTTTCACATCTGCAGCTTAGTGTTGTGAAGGGTATGCGTTTATTCGGAGGAAGCTTTGTAATAATTTTGACCCGTAATTTATTTATTGCCCTCCGAATGCAGTCGTCTATGCAGATGCTCTCTCCCATTATCTGCGGGGCAGGTGCACAGCATGTTGAAAGACAGCTAATTAGGATTTGCCGAAAGATATGCAAAAACTATGGGCTTATAACAAAGCCAAGTTCATTGTTAAACAATGTTTTACTGTGTTTATATGATTTGTCTAAATCTTAGGGATACTGAAATGAATGTTGTGGTTATAAGTAGATTGCACATAGGGCTTTTTAAAAAACACACTTTGTATTTCTGTGATAACAAAGCCTAGATGTAAAGCTTTATAAATCTCTATAAATGTCCCTGTACACATTTTGGATAAAAATAAGAATGACCGATTTTTAAATTATTGTTTTCCCAAGTTTTAGTTTGAAGATATCAATATCTTTTGAAAACCACTTAGTTCTATTCATTATGGCCCTTGCAAACTTAGGTTCATTAAAATGTTTATAGGTGCCTAGGGGAGTAGGTGTTATGACTGGAATCCATGTGTGACTCTGACTTTTCATCTATAGGAGTGTGAACTTTTTGTCAGGAAATGATTTTTCTGATTAGATTTGATGTACATAATTTATAAAGCAAATGCAGAAGGATTACTTTAAAACCTTCTTCCTGTATTTGAAGCAACCACTGAAGTGTTGATTTACTTACGATTTTAGAAGAGGTATTATTTGGCACAAGACATACTTATGATTCTTTTTATTTGTGTTTACTACTATTGAGTTTAAGGGTTGCTTCCTACTGGTATAGTGGTGTTGTTTTATATGCATATTAGGTATGGGTGAAAGTGCCATAGATGGCTAATTAATTTGTATCTTGCATTTCTTCCTGATGAATTTCCTTCTTGTCTCCCTGCTTTCTTGTGTATTAGCCATTGAGCATCTTCTCTTGTGCAGGGAAATGTAAAAATTTTGTGCAGGGAAATGTAAAAATTTTGTCTATGGATGTTGATCTACTGTTAAAGAACCTCACCAAATGTCCATAAGAAAAGATCAATATAAGTACAAGGGGAAAACTAGAAACCTGAGGAACTTTGAAGGTAGATAAAACACATTTCCAGGAGAAGCACCATTATCTATCTATCTATCTCTACACATCCAACAAACACAAAAATGTGAGCAAAAGTTTAATTTAAAAAGGAGAAATGTAAGGAACTCCCAAATGAATAATATAAAATGAAACAGAGCCTGAAGTGTTAGATAAGCTCAGTGAGTCTTCATGGCATGTAAAAGGCACAAAAACTTGGTATGTGGAACTGTAAGTGTGTCTAGGCCATGAGATTTTACCATCTAATAAAATGAATTCGAAGGAAAGAAAGTGAAAGATGTTAAAAATACCAGTGTAACCAATACTTGGCAGTTTCTTCTAGATCTAGAAGAAATAGCAAATACATGTTTGTCTATTTTTATCAGCAATGTGCTGATACTGATTTTATCTTATTTAAGGGACTCCTAACTTTTTGGTTCCCTAAATGAATTATTGTCCTAGTATATTATAGTTTCCAAACCTTAATTTATTTTCCTCTACAGGCAACAGACATAATTTTAAATTATTTTGAGTTAGTTTTATTACCCGGTTGAAATTATTCTGAAATATATTTTTAAATGAAAGTGACAGCTTTAAAGTGTTTTGAGGGAGGAAATTAAAGTTGTGCATTTGAATTAAGACAACCAAGAGCTCTCTCCTGCTGTGGGTGTAATTCAGGACATCTAGGAATGAAATCTGTTCTTAAAAGAATTGATGATAGTTTTAGGTTAGCGCATAAAATTGCAGAGCTGGTGCTCAGCTGAGTACTTGGCAGCTTATAGATGTTACTGTCATGTAAGTTACACAGACACAGAGTGTGCACCACTGTGGATAAACAACAACAGGCACAGAGCAAAAGGCAGAATCCAAATGCAGACATGCAAGATGCCAACTTCCTTCCCCTCCTTCCCCAGGATGCCTTGTAACTAGTGTGAAGAACCTGTTTTTAAACAGGTTTCCAGAGGTTAATTGGGCTGGGATATTTTAGATTATGTTACACATTAATGAAAATGCTGATTTTGAGCTGTCATGACTCCAGTGCTTTTTTATACCACGATAATTATTTTAAAACTTTATCTTCTGTGTTGTTGAAAACATCTTGGCAGAAAGCCTATGTGACCTGATTAAACCTACGAATTGTCAGCTGTGATCTATAGTACTCAGATGAGGTGCTGACTGGGCATCACTTAGGAAGTTCTTTATATAAAAGCAAAATTAGATTGAGACTATTGTGACCAGCACTGTTTTGCCATGTTGATGGTACATTTTTAATACTGTATTTATTAGTGTCCTGGTTTTATAGTTTGTTGACAATTGTTTAACCAAGGCATTTAAATATATATATAAAAGCATAGCTAATTACCTCATCATGTATGTATTTCTCTTCTCCCCCTGAAATTATGTAATGGAGAAGTCCATCTGATCCTGCTTATTTTTTAATTTTTGGGTATAGCTTGTGAATTAGTTATTCTATGAGATTTTAAAATCTGTTATTCTAGCTGTATAGAGAAACAGAACAACCACCTTTCTTTCATTGGGTTTGTTTTATATCCTTGGATGATGTTTTTTCTTTCTCAAAATCCCAAATTTTTTACCCTCTTTCCATTTTATTCTTAAATCACCTAAATATGGGAAGATTGGATGTCAGGAACTCAAGGCTACCTTCTTGTAAGGATCCAATCTGGGATAAATTGAGAAGGGGTGATCTTAAAAATTTTGGTATGCATGTAAATATTATCTTGAAAAGAATTTCCATACTTAGGCTTATTGATAAAATGTGAACAATGAAATTCTCAGCATGAATTATAGTACACTGATGTTTGAACATTTTTCTCAAATAAATAAAATACACTGTTTGTCCTGTTTCTCGCTTATTCTCTCTCTGTCTCTCTCTCCTTGAAGGTCTCAGCATCAGAGGAGCCCAGGAGGAGGACCCTCCCGATCCCCAGCTAATGAGACTGGACAATATGCTTTTGGCAGAAGGGGTTTCAGGTCCTGAGAAAGGTGGGGGATCGGCGGCAGCAGCTGCAGCCGCGGCAGCCTCTGGAGGTTCTTCAGATAACTCTATTGAACACTCAGATTACAGAGCCAAATTGACCCAGATCAGACAAATCTATCACACAGAACTGGAGAAATATGAACAGGTCAGCAGCCGCCACTCTCATAGTCCTGCACAAACCTCTATTGCTCTGCTATTAGACTGCGCTAACCAATTCTGAGGGCTGTGAGGGGTAGGTGTTAACACAAAGAACAAAATAAATAAGGTCAATGCTAAAATCTAAGTGAATTGTTGGATTCATGAAATGAAGTCCCTTTGAGATTTCAGAGGTGAAGCTAAGCTGTTTTATCCCATCTACTTGTTTTAGTTATATTCATTCCTCACATTCATGTGCCCTTACTACCACACCTGCAACCATCCTTCCCCCCTAAATTCACCATTTTGTGCTCTTCAAAGCTTTGCATCATTAGCATTTATGCACTGGCCTTGTTCATAAGCTGTGACCACTTTTAAAGGGAAGCACTGCATAGTGAGATTTTCCTCCTATGCTGTGAGTTCCAGAATCCTCCTAGGAATTCTTAGGAATTGTGCCAGGCTGTAGGGGAGGGAGCTAACTTCACAAAGTAAGCAGGTTCTGGCCAGTCTCTCTGAGGAGGAAACCACCCAAGATAATTAACCTGGGGCAGGGAATACTAGCCATTGTGTGCGAAATTCCTGATTAAAGAATATGGATTAAAAATGCTATTCTCAGCAATTATATTAACCATATTTCAATGAATCTAAGATACTTTGTTTTTAAGTTGTATCATTGCTATATATCACAAGAAAAAATTAACACTCCCTAATTTAACTATAACATTGGTTGCGAAATGGTTCCAAACTTCAGAGATGTTAAAACGTGGTGGAAAATAAGTAACTCTTAGATTCAATGAAAAGTAAAATGTTCATGTTTCATTTTGAACTTATTTTAGTTGTTAGTTTAAGCCTAAAAACCTACTTCGTTTGAGGAATTTTCACTGGAAGGTAATTAAAGAAAACATTATATGAAAATGTTTAAACGTACCCCCAAATAAAGAGAATATTATTAAGTCAAATTCTATGAAATTGCCATGTTTTTAGGTCAGAAAGCAGTTGTGAATTGGCTGTTTTATAGAGCTAAATCTAAAATAAGGAACTGTCTAAATATACCTATCACCCAGGTAAATATATATTAACATTTTGTCAGTCTTATTTTGTCTGTCTTTCCCTCACTCCCCGCCCCCCTTTTTGTGTGGGGTATTTTAAAGTAGTCTTAGATACCATACCATTTTACCCATAAATACTTCACTATGTAGTCAGGTATGTCTTAAAGTCAAACACCTTAATGTAATATGGCAGTCCTGGTCAGTTTTAATACTGATTTATCGTCTAAGTTCCCTGTATAGTTTCAGTTATATATGTTATTTTTTTCATTGCCTTCTCTAATATGCTGGCTGTGGTGGTATTAAGCAATACTGGATTCCCAGAGGTGAATGTGTTTTTAGGGAGGGTAGAAAGATTTATGTAGTTCTATGTTAACATACAATATAAATTAATCTTATAAGCTATTATGTATTTTTTTCTGAATAGGACTTTCTGGGATCTCAAACCATCTCTAGTCTCATTTGGTGGAAGATGTGCAAATAAGAATTTTAGAAAAATTATCTTACGTATGTACATAAAAAATGGAACTTTCTGATTTGACATATGAATAATTGAGAGTAAACAAAATAAGTCATGGTTGAAAAGATTGCCCTGAGCATAAACAGTGGAAATGGCTCTGATTTGTAGTAATATCCTAATTGCATAACTTTCTGTTAAATATATCTATCTGTACTTACTAAAGAAACACCACCAGTCACCTTGCATGAAAAGATCTATAGTATTGGGCCAGATGGCTCTACTTTTTTGGCTGAGGAATTAAGATGATTCCTTACTGTCTCCTGCCATGTCTCTTCACATTGTCCTCCTGATGTCCTCCCTATAGCCCTGTTGGAAGTTGGGTGAGGTAGGCATCAGTCATTGTCACAGGGTTTGGGGTTTTTGTTGTTGTTTTTTTTGTTTTTTGTGCTTTGAAAATACACACACACATACACACAAGTTCTTTATAAATTAATCTACACTAAGTATTTTTGGATTAAAGATTATATTGGGAAATAATGAGTATTAGAATATAATCATGAACCTTATTGTTAGATATATTTAGTAGCCTAATAACTACTTAGATGTCTGTTTCCTTTCTCATTTTTATCACTTTCAGAAGGAAAAAATATAGATAAGTGAAGTCATTGCAGTATTAAGGACAAATAAATAGATTGAGTATTGTGACTAGTTGGCTGATTCGACAGAATTTTAGCTCACCAGTTTTCTTCTGTAGGTTCTGAATTGTTTTATAAATATCAGTGGCATTTAATTCTCTTGAGTTGTCTTTGGGGTGGCTTTTATAGCTCTTCTGTAAGTTTTACCATAAGATAGTCAACTTTTCTTTTTTCTTTCTTTCTTTTTCTTTTTAAATCTTTGAGATACAGGTCCTTATCTGGGATAGACCTTTCAGGGATATGTTTTGAAGTTGCTAAGGGCTAAGCAGAACTAACTGAGATGAAGGGGTGAAATGGATGGAATTATAATTTCCATTTTACAGATGAGAAAATGAGACTCAGGTTAAGTTATTTGTCCAGTGTCACACATCTAGTTAGTGTTAGAATCAGACATTGAAATCTGTTTCTGACAATATGACTGTCCTTTTCATTGAATTATGCTGCTACTTATGTCAAATTGGAAAATAATTCAGGTACATTCTGTTTTTTTGTTTGTTTGCTTTTTCTAATTTGCCCATGTTGGATTGCATTTGGAATGGAATCAGAGTAGAGATGGAAAAATAAAACACAACTATTCTAATCACATGATTTTTCCTCCTAAAGTGAACACGGATATTCTGAGTGATGGAAAGCTTGTTAGTAAATAGGAAGAACATATATGTTAAGTAAGGCAGAAGCTTCATCCGAAAATTGTGTTGAGTCTTTTATTAAAAGAAATAAACTACATTGGAATCTAGAGCTATTCACTCTACTGTGTTTTGCAATGAAGCTGTAATGAAAATGTATCTGAAGCCTGTTTAGATTTAGATTGCCATAAAATTAACACACACTACCACTGCCATAAATTAAAGTACCTTATAAACATAGCCACATTTACAAAGCTAAGCAGACTAGAGCTACAGTTTGAGCAAAATTAAATCCATGCTGCAAGGCTCAGTTTTATGTGTGTTTTAGAAATGGTACTATCTTTAATATACTGTCCTCTTTTGGTTCTCTATAAAATGTCCTTTGACCATATGTCTCCATTACATAGGCTTAGATGTAATTATTTTTAGTGATTATCACCTAAACTCACTTATAAAAACCCTTTTGAAATATTAGGCTAAATATTAGAATATAGTCTAAATAATAGAATATATATTAGGATCAGATTCTTGAATATCATTACCACACCCAAAGGAAACAAAACTATTTTACTTTTCTCTTGTTGATCCTGACACCAAATAGGAATATGACAATTTTCCAAAGCTTGCAGCAGCTGTCATACTACTTGTCTTGGGTGCATTGCCTCCCTCTTTAGTTGGACAAAAACCTTATTGCTTGTTTGTCTTCTCGTTAATTAGAAGTTTTGAAAAATGCTTTTACATTACCTTTCAAATATGCTCTTATGATTAAAGGTCCAACTATTAGAATAGGTGAATTCCTAATGAACTTTAACCAAGCGTTCTGGGAAGCCTGTTTTTAAGAATTGAAGGCCTTCTTGGTTCCTTCACCTCTTTACCAAAGGGAAATGGACACATTGGTATATGCAAATGAAATTTGACTTAGACATTTGTTCTCAGTTAAAACGGACAAGATATATCATGCCCTATGCAGCCCTCCCACTTTGCTTGTACCAGAAGAAATGCTTGTACACAGGCAATTCACTTCATAATTTATAGCTGCTATAATAGAGATGACATATTGAAAGCTATCTACTATAATTATATTGAAATACATTTTTGCCAAAGGCAAAAGTGTTGTAAGGGCACCAACCCTCCACAATCATTTGGGAACCTGCTTTCTGAGTTCACAGATGTCAAATGCATTCACCTCAAATCAGGTAGAGCATTGGAACCAAACATACACTGAATGTGCTCAAGACCAATCAGATACTGTTTAGATACTAGAGGACTTTCAGATTACTGAGGGTTATTGGTGAAATGGAGAAGGAGTGTAGAACTAAACCATTGTAAAGGAATGGCCTTGGGCTCTTTGAGGATCTCAGCATTATGTACTTCCCTCTCCTGGCAAAATCTGCTTTGCTTGTAAAGAAATTTTATTTTTATCAGCTTAAAAAATGCTGATGTTATTATATTAGAGTTTGTCTAGCCTGCAAACTCCTAAATAAATTGCTATTTATTTTTAATAGTTAAGCAGGAAAGACAAAAGGTTACTACCTGATGTAAACTTTATATTTCATTTTCCCAAGCAAGGCTTTGTAATTCATTGTTCCAAGGGAAGGGTTTTACTTCTTGTCGGTATTCATGCTGGGTCTTTTCCTTGGCTGGAAGTAGTGTTTGAGTACTCACCTTTTCCCCTCCAAGTTTCTAGTTTATTGAGCCTATGTACCAAATGTATCTTTGACCATATGCTTGATTAATGAATGGTTTTATATTTGAATACTCTTTTTTTTTTTATTAAACTTGTTTGGAAGCAGTGTTTGTATTCAGGCAATGGCAAGGCAGAATTATATTATATGCGAGGTAATCAGAGTAGGGACTTGCTTACAGAATTAACACACAAAAATATGAATTTCATCAACTTGCCATTTTCATTGTCAATAATAACTGCCATTTATTAAGTATTTAATTATGTTCCAGACTCTATGCAAATAACTTAACATACATATATAACATAATCCTTACAAAACCCTCATGAGATAGGTCCCTAAACTATGTAATTAGGTAAGAAGTGTTGAAGTATAATAGATATTTCATCTTTGCATATTGGTTTCATTCTAGTTGGCTTAGCAAAAGAATCTTTAAGTGAAGAATTTGTTGATTTAATAATAAACATTTCATAAACACAAAATCTATAATATTGGATT